AGTCTACCCCAACCCCTAAACCTGGAAGCTCTATACAGGTTTGTTTCGAGGGCCCAGGGCCCAGTGCAAAAACTGAGAGATTCAGCAGCCCTGAACCGAAGAAAGGGCTTATGGTTTAGGTATCTAAAGCCTAAACCCTAAACCCTAAACCCTAAACCCCAAACTTCGAAGCTTCCGCTCCAGGCCCTGAGCCCCAACTTTCATGAAGTTACCATCGTAAGGCAAGGAAACACTCGGTCTAAATCTGTCTCTGTCTTGTGATGCTTAGGGTTTAGGGTTTAGGGTTTAGGGTTTAGGGTCTAGGGGGGGTTTATGAGGGGACCCCAAAAATAGACCCCAAAGAGAAAGATTGCCTTATAATAAGGACCCCAATAAGGTACCCCCAATTTGGAAGCCACCATATCGTACCCTAAGGGGCTTGAGGCCTCAAAACTCCAGGATTCGAGACCCCAGACAACCCTTCCTAGGAGGTACCCGTCCCTGTGTGGGAGGGTCCTCGGTGCCTTAGGGCAGAAAAAGCAAAGCCTTTGATCCTAAGCCCCCAAGAGTGGTGCATTCTGAGAAACCAGAAGATCCATGTACCTAGATGGTAGAGAACTTGGGCCTTAAAGGGTATTCCTATATAGTAGCTTCAGGGCCCAAGTATATACTAAACAGGTACATGGATCCTGTGGCAAAAAGAAGCTGAGGTCCAGAAGTCCCAGCGGAAAGCGAGCGCGCAGGTAGCGAGATCATCCCAGGTAGCAGCCCATCGAACAGCCATAGATCAAGCCTGGGTCGAGGGTTTTCCCCGCAGCCCTTGAATTCGGGTTTAAGGTTATTCTGGGGTTTAGGGTTTAGGGTTTAGGGTTTAGGGTTTAGGGTTTAGGGTTTAGGGTTTAGGGTTAGGGTTTAGGGTTTAGGGCTGAGGCTTTAGGGGCCCTTTAGGGTTGAATGTTCGAGCCAGAGTTGAGACCAAGACAGTCGAGGCCCTGACCCAACACCCTAAGTGAAGTTCGCCGGCACCAGTGCCCTAGCAGGTGGAGCAGTTGAAGCACGTTTAGCCTCAACTTCAACTTGGTAGCCCAGTGGTGCCCTTTACCCCTTTCTTGTGGTGCAAGGTTCCCTTATAAAGTAGCCAAACCAACCCCAAAAGAAGGTGCCCTAAACCCTAAACCTTAAACCCTAAACCCTAAACCCTATTCCAATCTGGTCACTGGGGTACCAAGTCAAAGCAGACCACCGGCCCGCCTCAACACCAAAAGATGCCTGAAGCGCCGGTTGGGTTCTCCAAGGGTCCTTGGGCACCTATAGAGAAGATACTTATCTACTTGGGCCCCCTGAAGCTGCTAGATGGTAACCCTAAACCCTAAACCCTAAACCCTAAACCCTAAACCCTTTAAGGCCCAAGTATACACCGTAAAGGTACATGGGCCCTTAGGGTCTTTTTGCAGTTCAGGGTTTGGGGCTCCGACAGACTGCCATAGGGTGTAAGGTATGGGGTTTAGGGTTTAGGGTTTAGGGTTTCGGGTTTTAGGGTTTAGGGGTCCACCCCCCTCTTCTGTGCAATGAGAGGGTAGGGCTTTGCTGGGTTTAACTGCTGACCCGCTTTCCAGACCCCAAGGCCTAAACGGTCAACTCTATACCTATAGCCCCCTTAGGAACGATTTATTCTTCTACAACCCAAGGGAATATATATATATATATTAAACATATCATGTTGTTAAGGTTCTAAGGGGAGTATAGATACCGCTGGCCGCTGGATGGCTCAAGGGCCCCGCATTCTGCAGAGTCAGGCTGAGTATTGCGCTCCACCGTTCGTTGCCATGGCCAAGTCGAAGAATCTTTGGCCAAGATAGGTTGGGATGTTCCCCTGAATTACACTAGTAGTTCTTTCTGAATAGGGATTATAGTACCCCTCCCCCCCCCCCTTATGATAATCCCTAATTTAGGACTTGTGAGTATGAGGGGCAACATCCCAACAGATAAGGCTTACGAGGGTTCTGCGTGTAAGGTTTAGGTTGGGATCGCCACCCCTTCTACTAACAGTCCTTAATAGGGATTCTGGTAGAGGGGGGTGGGGTACTATAATCCTTATTAAGGACTGCTAGTATAAAGGGATGTTCCCGACTTACGAGGGTTCTGGGTGTAAGGTTGAGGGGGTTATAAAGGGTTTACCCTAAACCCTAGACCCTAAACCCTAAACCCTAAACCCTAAACCCTAAACCCTAAACGCGTTCAGGGCTCAGCTTCCTTTTGTCTCTTGCTGAGTGCCCCTCCTCTGCCATAGAGCCTCCATGGAAAGAGTCGGTGCCTCTGGGATCGGCTTAGGGTTTAGGGGTTAGGGTTTAGGGGTTAGGGTTTAGGGTTTGGGGTTTAGGGTTGTGGTGTAGGATTCGTTTCGGATTGCGACCTCGCAAGACGTTCCGCGTGATCCGCAAAACTTAGCACAGTTCCGAGCGACCTCCTCAACCCTAAACCCCATAAACCCTCAACCCTTAGCCTTAAACCCAGCCGGAGAAGTTTAGCACCATGTCAAGGGCTGCACTCATGAGTATTCATAGGTGGTCTATATCGCCACCATAGGACAGAAGCGCTACAAGCCTGAAACCCAAAACCCGCAACCCTAAACCCTCAGCCCGAACCCTGAACACTGTGATTTACACCTTTGCGAGTTCGCAACCCTAAACCCTAAACCCTAAACCCTAAACCCTAAACCCTAAACCCTAAACCCTAAACCCTAAACCCTAAACCCCTCCACAGGGTGTAGAGTGTAGAGCCGAGGAACCACACTGGGCACAACCAGATCTACAAGGATCCCGCTAGGGTTTGGCGGTTCAGGGGTTTGGGGTTTAGGGTTTGGGGTTTAGGGTTTGGGGTTTAGGGTTTGGGGTTTAGGGTTTGGGGTTTGGGGTTTAGGGTTTAGGGTTTAGGGTTTGGGGGTTTAGGGGTTTAGGGGTTTGTATGCATGTAGGGCTTAGATGTTTCGGGATTCAAGTGCTGGAGTTTAGGGCCGGGCTTAAAGGCTATCCGGGTCTGAACAACGAAGCTCTTGAAGCGAGCCCAGCTCCTTAGGAGGACGACACGATGGACGTTTCCGAACAGTAACGGAGGTCCTTTGTGGGTGGTTTTGGCTTAACAGGAGGAAATTCTTACCATCCTTGGGGCCATTTATTGACCCAAAGGGGTCTAGGCCAGGGCTCCTATGTAGTACCTCTTTGGGGTATACTAGAATCTCTTATAACTAACCCAAAAAGGAACTACATTGGAGCCTTTGGGTAGGCTAGGGCTTGGGGCAACTTCCAGCTTCTGTCGCAGAACCATCGCAATGGCATCAAGAAGACCCGGCGCCCGCGCAAGATGTCCATGCGTGGCATGCCGCTTGTCAGACGGCCCTCACGAACCGGGGCTTCGAAATGGGGCTTAGGATTTTGGGTTTAGGGTTTAGGGTTTAGGGTTTAGGGTTTAGGGTTTAGGATAGCGTGCGAATCTGCAGGGTTCATGTTTGAGGAGCATATGTTAAGCTACCATCATGGGACATGTAGGTCAGAATAGACGGCTTGAAGCTCCTAAACAAGAACCCAGCTTAGGGTTGAGCAGGGCTGGGTTTGAACATAGTTTTAAATTTAGATTACCCCTAACCCCCGATTGCATAATCCTTATAAAACCATACAGACATGCTTCTTTTCCGGCCCCCACACCTACCCCGCGAAGGGCGTCATGAGGAATGTCCTTGGAAGTGTGGAAGGACCTAAAGGAGATACCCCGCAGCCCAAAGCACACAGGCACCCGAAATGTTCAACCACAAGCCCTAGAGACCTCAATGCCGACTCCAACAATGCATCCCAATACCCTGCAACTGTCAATCCCACAAGGTTTAGGGTTCGGGGCTTAGGGAACCACAAGCCCTGAGCCCTAAGCCCTGTCAATCCTAAAGCTATCGTTTGGGATGTTCCTCCTTATACTAACAGAATAGGGACTGGGTAGGGGGGGCGGGTACTATAGTCCCTATTAAGGACTGCTAGTATAAAGGGGGCGCATTCCTAGAGCTATCTTCTGTAAACCCAAGCAACCCATTCGCATCCCTGCAAACTTAGGAATTGCCGCTTTGTGCGCAACCAGGCCGCGCACTCGGCTCGCCTCAGAAACGCAGGTCAAAGGCTTCTGGGTTTGTAGGGCATAGGGCTATGGGGTTTAGGGTTTCGGGTTGAGGGTTTAGGGTTTAGGGGCTCCGGGGGGCCAGGTTACGGGTTCATTCATAGGGTTAGTTCAGGAGGCCAGGTTTAAACAGTTTAGGGTTTAGGGTTAGGGTGGTTTAGGGGCCGGAAAGGGGTTCGTTGAGCGGCTTCCTGCAAAGAACTCGAGCCTTCTGGTCCAAGGTTGAACTTGGGGGTAAATCCTTAAACCATAGGGGGTTTTATGGTTTAGGTTTCAGGGTTTAGGGCTCTTCAGATTCTGCGCGGGTACCTTTGTTTAGCATGAAGAACAACTTTTACATAGGGCCCGGATCAAACGCGCCACCCCCCCCCCCCCCAATACGAATCCTAAACCCGTTTGTGCCAAAAACCCTAAACCCAGAAGCCTTGGAGGCAGCAGGACATCGTACAAAGCATCGCCGCGCAGTCACGCAGCCATGTGCCCCAAAACCCTATGTGGACCCTAGACCCAAAACCCCAACACCCTATGCTTGGTAGCCCAGTAGTACCCTTTACGTACACCAGGTAGGTTTTAGAGGGCAGATCGGGGATTCTGGTGCGGGGCATCTGGGCTATAGGGCTACTTGTAAGGGTGGTATGTTCTAGGCTCCTGCAGGGTCATGGGGTAGCAGCTCTATGAAGTTCTGCAAAAAAACGCAAGGCCGCTTTAGGGCTTATGGCTCTCAACCCAAGATCATCAAGGGATTAAGACGCGTAGCGTACTCCAAAAAAGGGCCCTTCTACTAAATCAAGGATCTTTAAAAGCGTCCCCAAAACCCAAGGGACAACCTTAAGGGTCCAAGGCAAAGCCCCTAGAGATCAGCCATGGCCCTGCTGCGCGTCGGGGTGCTGTGGGTGGTCGCTGCCCTGGCTTCCGAAGACGCCTGTGACTTTGTCATAGTTGGGTAACATTTTTCAACATTTTTAAGGGTACATAAACCCATAAACCCAATAAGGAATGGAAACTTAAATTTAGCATTTTGAAGGGTACATAAACCCAATAAGGGATGGACACTTAAATTTTTCATACTATCCCAACCATGAATCAGGTGAGGGAGAGGGCGAGTGCCTTTGGAAGCAGGCCAGGCACTTCCCAGTCCTCGAGCCGCCCCGCGGCGAAAGTTGCCTTTAAGATCCCGAAGGTGCGTCTAACGAATTTAAGGTGTGCAGTTTAGGGTTCAGGGTTTGGGGTTTAGGGTTTAGGGTTTAGGGTTTAGGGTTTAGGGGAATGCAAACGAAATACCGTAACAAAGGTTTCAAGCTGAAGTGTAACTGGAAATCAATCTGTCCACTACGCATTCAGAGCAAAAGCAAAATCCACACAGCTCTCTAAGCTTTGGTCCCTTAATCTGGGTCCTTGTTGGTCATATTTTTCCATTTTTGTCTTTTTTAAATTCCAATAAGGAATAACCATGATAATTTTAATATGACCCCAAGGCCCCTTAATTGGGGCAGCCAATACACTCCGTTATGCTCGTGTGTAGCGAACCTCTAAAATGGGCCGCAGCTCAGGGAGCTGTACGCGCGTGGTAATAAGCACTCGCGAAAGACAGGTTCCTTCTGGGGTACCCTAAACACAACGGCCTGTTTGTTAGATTAGGTGCCCTCAAATTTGGGCACGAATGTAGGGAAAGTGCCATAGATACATGCCGCGGTGCTTGATTGATGCAAGCAACTTGCCCTCATAGTAAAGTAGTCAGAAGGCACCGAGGTTGAATGCGTGAATTTTATACCCTAAACCCTAAACCCTAAGCCCTAAAGCCTAAACGTTTAAAGGTGGGCGAGTGGAAAAGCGACGACACCTTCGTCCATGAGTTGAATGTACAGAGCTTAGCTCTTGCTTCCTCCTTGGTGGGGAAGCGCTGCCATGTGCGGAGGGGGTTTGAGCGTGTAGGGGTTGAGAAGGTGGTTGTTGCGCATGGCATCGAGCCATTTGTTTCTTTGAGCCCTAAACCCTAAACCCCTAAACCCTAAACCCTAAACCCTAAACCCTAAACCCTAAACCCTAAACCCTAAACCCTAAACCCTAAACCCTACTGTAAGGGTCCATGTACCTATGTCGTATATACTTGGGCCCTAAAGCCGCTGTATGGCAACCCCTTCAATTAAGGCCCAAGTATACACCATAAAGGTACATGAACCCTTGAAAAGAACCCTCAACCCTCAACCCCAAACCCTAAACCCTAAACCCTAAACCCTGAAGCTACAACTGACTGCGCCCGAAGTTGGCAACTGCACACTTGCAGTCGATGGAGCACTAACAACCCTGTCTCATCAAGTAGTTTGTGGTACCCTGGCCGACCTTGCTGCTAGGGTTTAGGGTTTAGGGTTTAGGGTTTCGGGTTGAGGGTTTAGGGTTTATGGTTTATGGTCTAGGACCAGCTCCACACGGGAGTCTTTACTGGGGGGCTGCAAGGGCCTGGTAAACGGGGATACCAGCCCTTCAAGTTTAACCCGGCAGCCCTTACACTTTCATCCTTATAACTGTTTATAGGACCCCAAAATAGGCAACCCCGAATTTTCGAAGCCCCCCCCCCCCCCTTGTGGGCAAATGATTCCAAACATTTCCAAACCCTTGTGGGGGGGCTCTGACCCAAGAACGATGTGGACCAACTCTATGAGACGATTGAGGAGGAGCCGACCTTACAGGACGGCGTGGGCTTAGGGTTGAGGGTTTAGGGTTTGGGGTTTAGGGTTTAGGGTTTAGGGTTTGGGGTTTAGTGTTTGGAGTTTGGGGTTTAGGGTTTCGGAAGCTTGAGCGCCTTCCAGGATGACGAGAACTTTGCACCGCAGACTTGGGAAGTGACTTGGATTTCGCAGTGGCTTCGCCTGTTGGATATTTTTACCCTACGTTAGAGCTGGGTTTAGGGTTTAGGGTTTTTAGGGTTAAGGGTTAAGGGTTTAGGGTTTAGGGTTTAGGGTTTAGGGAGGGTTTCCTATGTACTAATGAGGGTCCATACAAAGGGCTCACGCAACCTTGCATCTTGTGTGAGAGCAGGGTCTGCGCTAGACAGACCCCTGGGAGGATCTAAAAAGTAGAGCCCCCAAATAGTAACTACTATGGGGTCATCCTCCCAGGGGTCCGACCTAAACCCAAATTTTAACCGGCCCTTAGGGCCCTTGGGTTGTGAGTACAGTTATAATTGGTTAGGAAGTACCATGACTCTCCAAGTAGCAAAACTGCAAAGGTTTGCAGCGGCACCCGCACAAAGGGCTGCGTCAAGCCGGCCGATCTTCCGAGCCTCGCCTGTGCAATCAAGTTTAGGGCCGGCTTTTCAGTGGGGTTTAGGGTTTAGGGTTTAGGGTTTAGGGTTTAGGGTGTAGGGCTTAGGGTTTAGGGCTTAGGGTTTAGGGTTTAGGTCTTGGCTTTCATATATGGATTCAAAATAGGGTGCATAGTCTCGCACTCCAGCAGCACTGTGTTGGCGTTCCCTTGGCCGTCCCTGCCCCGACGCCCCTGGAATTCACCGTAAGGGTCCATGTATTTAGGGTTTAGGGTTTAGGGTTTAGGGGTTAGGGGTTAGGGGTTTAGGGTTTTCGGCTGTGGGGTTTAGGGACAACATGTTCTTGGGCCCAAAAGCTGATTTATGGTATACAGCCCCTTTAAGGCCCGAGGAGGAGGGTGCAAACACACAGGTGCGAGCCTGGCAGAAGTCTTCACCGTCGCATCTGTAGAGGTGTCGGATAGCCTAGACCCCTGTCTCCAAACCCTACTCCAAATCCTAAACCCTAAACCCTAAACCCTAAACCCTAAGCCCTAAACTCTCTGTGGTGTAACTTAACTTAGCGTGCTGAACGCGGCACGGTGCAGAAACCAGGCGGCTCCTGAAGAAGGCGGTGCAGCCCATCATCGTCCAAGGTCTCATAGAAGCTGGGCCCATTTGGAAAAGCGTTGGTGACTTTGTCAGAATGTGAGGGGTGCTAGATTGGGATGTTCCCCCTTATACTACATAGGGGTGATAGTAGGGGGTGCTAGAACCCCTACCACGGACTGCTAGGAGAAGGGGGAACACCCCAAGTGCTAGACCCGAAGCCGAAGCCCGGGTGAGAAGCCATCTCCCAGCAACGCAGGATGGATGGCCACAGAATTTGTCTTGGAGCAAGCAGCGTGTGCTGGAGAACTATGGCGTCGTGCCTGGAAGTTCAGAAGTTCAGAAAATCCTGTAGGTTGCCCAATGCCATAAACCAGATTGCCCATATGAATATTCTCAGATTGCCCATATGAATATTCTCCAAAGTATTTAGGGGTCCAATTAGGGCACCCCCCCCCCATTTTCGAAACACTCAGATGAGTGTGGATCTATTGCAGAGTCAGCTATAGCCCCCTGAAGAATTTTTCTATTTTGAATAAAAGTAGTACTTATATAGAAGCCAAGGGAATATTAGAAATACGATGCCCATTAAGGTTCTAAGGGGAGTATAGTCAGATGGATCTCCGCCAATTTGAACACTTTGAGCTTCCTGGGCCCCTGAACGCGAGCCTGAACGCAGGCCGATTCAGCTCGAGGCACGCAGACCCTAAACCCCAAGCCCCAGACCCCAAACCCTAAACCCTAAACCCGAAACCCTAAACCGCATCCCCATCCTTGGGATCGGGAGTGGCAAAGCCCAGCCCCTTAAGCCTCCTAAGCCTCCTGAACCCCCTAAACCCCCTAAACCTTAAGCCCTAAACCCCCTAAACCCCCTAAACCTCCTGAACCCCCTAAACCCCCTAAGCCCCCTAAACCCCCCAAAGCCCCTAAACCCCCTAAACCCCCTAAACCCCCTAAGCCCTAAACCCCCTAAACCCCCTAAACCCCCTAAACCCCCTAAACCCTAACCCCCCCCCCCCATATAAACCCTAAATCCTAAACGCTAATCAAACCCTAAACCCCAAACCCGGAAAACATCCCAAGGGGGACTCACCGTGACCGTTAGCCTGGGGAGCCTCTACCCCACAGAGGGTGGCAAACCGGAACGGCAGGTGAGGGTTAGCCTCAAGGACTGCCCTCAGGGTTTAGGGTTAGGGTTTAGGGTTCAGGGTGCAGGGTTCAGGGTTTAGAGTGTAGGTTTTTAGGCTTTAGGGTTTAGGGTGCAGGGGACTTAGGGTTTAGGGCAGGTGGGGTACAGGCTTTGAGCTCTGCGGTTTCGGGTTTAGGGGCGTTGGTGCCTGAAGGTTCCCAATGTAGAACCTACTTTAGGGTTTAGGTTTAGGGTTTCTCTTTCAGGGTTTAGGGTTTAGGGTGCATTTACCATAACCATAACCCCAGTAATAACCCAGGACCCTGGCAGCGCGAAAGGAGTTTCAAAGCCCAAGCCCAACACCAAGAGGACGCTGGTGGCGAGGAGTTCGACCCCTTAGGGCGGCTGCAAAAAATAAGGAACGGCAAGTTTCTCGGTTTCTTAATGTGGTCCCTTGCCCTCTTTACTGACATATGGGGGGTCTTGGGGTTGACAAAGGGTATAGAAGGGGTACAGAAGGGGTCCTCTTTTCAAGGTACCATGAAGCTACCCGAAGAGTAGGGTGTCCTTCTAAAGGCCCACCTGCAAGCTCCAACGCATGGGGCTTAGGGTTTAGGGTTTAGGGCTTAGGGCTTAGGGCTTAGGGCTTAGGGATCTGGGCTTAGGGCTTAGGGCTTGGGGAGGTTTACAATTTGCCACCATGCAGCCGGGCGAGGACCTGATTCAGCGGTTTCTTCCTGACAGCAGGCGGGCTTTTCTTTATTTTTGTATTATTTCGTTCTTTCTTTATTTCTTTTTTGTTTCGTTCTTTCTGTCTTTCTTTCTTTATTTCTTTCCGTTTGTCTCTCTCCCTCCCTCTCTCTCTCTCTCCCTCTTTCTGTCTCAGATGCTTCAAACCCTACATGCCCTAAGGCTTGGCCCAGAAGTGAGATCTGGAAAGGGACCCGGCCAGTCAGCAGAATCCCTGAACCTTGAACCCTAAACTCTAAAACCCCAAACCCTGAACCCCAAACCCTGAACCCTGAACCCTAAACCCTAAACCCTAAACCCTAAACCCTAAACTCATGGAATCGAGAAGTCCCCCCAACCTTGAACCAGAAAGATCTAAAACTCTAAACTCCTCCAGACTCATTGTTTAGAACCCTCAGGAGTAGACCAGGAACCCTAAACCATGATGTCTTACTTTCAGCGCCAGCCCCCGCATCTCCAGACGACATAAGAAACAAGCGACCACAACGACCATCTCCTCAGGACTTGGGGGGGGGGGTGTCCTAAAGGGGCCCTGTTAATGGATGAACTATGGAATAAGACTCACTTAACATTGGGAATCCCTACCAAGAAGGGAACCTACTTTGGGGCATCAGGCATTTTGAACCCTTCTTACCTGTATACAACGCAAGGGCACGTTGACAATCGAACTTTGGCATGCTTCCAGAAGGGAAAGGCTACCCTTTTGCACCTGTTGACCCTGCCAAAGATGCCAAGAAATCGGAGAAGGCATGAACATCAGTAGGACCCAGAGTAGGCGCTTGTTCCCCTTGGTTGTAGGGTTCAGGTCCCCTTCTTAGCCTTTAAACAAAAAAGGGGGGCACCCTGTCTATTCCTACGTTACTCTTGGGTCATTCTAAACCCAAAGCCCTAAGCCCTAAACCCTAAACCCTAAACCCTAAACCCTAAACCCTAAACCCTAGCCCTAAACCCTAAAGCCCTAAACCCTAAGAGTTGCTTCACTTGCAAGCAACCCCTGGGGCCATGCAGGTTCGTGTCCTTCGACCGATTGCCGCAAGATGTCCACAGCCGATTCCTGAGCAGCAAGCTGCTGAGCAGGCCAGGATGAGGGTTAGTTTAGGGTTTAGGGTTTAGGGTTTAGGGTTTAGGGTTTAGGGTTTAGGGTTTAGGGTTTAGGGTTTAGGGTTTAGGGTTTAGGGTTTAGGGTTTAGGGTTTAGGGTTTAGGGTTTAGGGTTTAGGGTTTAGGTTTTATGGTTTAGGGTTTAGGGTTTAGGGTTTAGGGTTTAGGGTTTAGGGTTTAGGGTTTAGGGTTTAGGGTTTAGGGTTTAGGGTTTAGGGTTTAGGGTTTAGGGTTTAGGGTTTAGGGTTTGGGGCGCTTTCGGTGGATCGGCAGAAGATAAGTCAACTTACCGGCACATTCTGACCTGAAGATCCCGGATACATGGGCCGCTGACTTGCAAGGCAACGAGCCCCGATACAATACCCTAAACCCTAAACCCTTAAGTACCCTAAGCCCTTACTTGCCCTAAACCCCAAGCCCTATAGACCCTCAACTAACCCCTAAACCCTTAACTACCCTAAGCCCCAAACCCCAAACCCTTAATTACCCTAAACCCTAAACCCTAAACCCTAAACCCTAAACCCTAAACCCTAGAAGGTCCTAACAACCCTGAGGATGGCTACGGCTACGGAAAGTGTTCCCATCCTCTCGGCCGGTGGTCCGCGCTCGGGGATCCCTTGGCACACACACGGGAAGAGACGCTGAGGCAGCACTCTAAGAGTTTTTAGGAGTTTAGGTTTAGGTTTAGGGTTTAGGGTTTAGGGTTCAGGGTTTAGGGTCTATGAGGTTTAGGGTTCATAGGGTTTTTGGGTTTGTAGGGTTTTTAGGGTGTATGGGGTTTATCGAGTTGAGACGCTGAGGCAGCACTCTAAGATTATTGGGGTTTATAGGGTTTGTCGAGGGTTCAGACATGACGGGCTTCATGTAAAGATGATAAGGTTTATAGCACTTGTAGGTTTTACAGGGTTTATAGGGTTTATACAGGTGCATTCAGCTTTGTCTCCATCAGCCTCTTAGGGTTTAGGGTTTAGGGTTTAGGGTTTAGGGCTTAGGGTTCAGGGACGTAACTTGTATAGGCATCTTGAGCTTTTTATGCAGTCTCCTGGTCGTGCTGCCAAGCTTCAGCCTGCAACATGACACCAGAGGCTCCCTGTTGTGCTATGTGGGCACGAAGCGCCGCTGGGCTCAACTCTCAACCCTTGGGGGGTTTAGGGTTTAGGGTTTGGGGTTTAGGGTTTGGGGTTTGGGGTTTGGGATTGGGGGTTTTGGGTTGCTGTTGTCAATGCGTTCGGAGGCCAGTTGTAGTTTTTGGGCAGGAAGTTGCAGCCGTGAATTGGGTCGAAGTGTTGTGGAGGAGCCACCTAACTCAGTCTCGGCCAGTGAAGACTGCTTGGGTTTCTCAAGGCCTAGAGGCCCTAAGCTTTATTTCAGTTACCCTTAGGATTTATCTAAGGGTAGGGTCATGTTCCCTGAATATGGCCCTCACCCTCTTTAAAGGGTTCTGACGTATGGGCCCTTGGGTTGTATAGGGTATATAAGGGTTAGACAAGGGGTCCCCTGCTAAGGGCCCTTACTAAGGGACCATACCCTAAGCCCTAACCCCAAACCCTACACCCTAAACCCTTGGGTATAACAGGGGGTATATAAGGGGTCCCCGTTTAAGGGCCCCATACTAGGGGACCATGTAACTACCCTCAGACCTTCTAAAGAGTTCTAGTTGGAGGTTCATGGGTGCTTATAACCACAATTATAAATCTACTTACAACCTACTTGGGATACTTTGGGGACTTATAAGTACAGATATACTTGGAGTTCTAACCCTAAACCCCAAACCCCAAACCCCAAACCCCAAACCCCAAACCCTAAACCCTAAACCCTAAACCCTAAACCCTAAACCTTGGGGTTACAAGCACCCCGAACCTCCAAGTACTCAGCTTCGGAGCGTGGCGGGACGATGTTGTTGCTGACACTCGCTTTCCCTACCGGTTTAGGGTTTGGGTTTTGGGGTTTAGGGTTTAGGGTTTAGGGGCGTAGGATACAGGAACCCTGCAGTCTCTAAGGGTAGTTACATGGTTCATTTCCATTTTAGGCCCTGAAATGGGCACCCCTTATGTGCCGCGCATGTCCCCAATAAAAAGCAATGAGGGCCCATACTTCAGAACCCTAGTTAAAGTGGCAAGGGACCATATCAAGGGATCCCAGAACTACCAGAGAGGCTAAACGATCTAGAATAGGGCCTATAGGGCCTTGAGGGTTTAGGGTCACTAAGGCCACAAACAATAAAGCCCTCAAGCATTTGGGTGCTAAATTGGGTTCAGGAGGGCTTGCTAAATTTGGGAGGTTCGAAGATCCTCCCCGGAATAGGATTCCTAGCAGTACCCCCTAACTACAAACATTATATGTCCTAGCCTCAACCCTAAACCCTAAACCCTAAACCCTAAACCCTAAACCCCAGAAACCACTGAAGGCTGGTTCACCTTCCCGCCCGGTACCGCCAATGTCAAGAAGCGGGGGCATCCCTTCTTGGGCTCCTTGCAGGGGAGTTTGGGGGGGGGGGGTGCTTAAGGGACCCGCAAAGTGTTTGGGTCTTCTGCAGCCCAACCCTGAACCCCAAACCCAAAGCCCCAAACCCGGGGGCTGGTGAATTGTTAAAGGGAGAGGCTGTAGGAATCCAACCCAACAGGGCCTGGCCTTAATCCCAATCTATCTTTACGGATTTCGGGTTTAGGGTATCCCTGTATATTACCCTATAAAACCCACTGTTGCTGCAACGAGAACTTCGTTCCCCGAACCGATCCCAAACAGGCTTATTGAGTGCCTCATTCCGCGAGCGTTCAAGGGACTAAAGGAGGGACCCTTATAAGGGACCTTAGGGGTCATTTAGGGGCTACTTAGGTATACAGGGACTATGTAAGGTATATATAGGGGTTGTATATGGGGAACAAGATTAAGGGTCCCTTCTAGGGGTCCCTGCTCATACCCCCTAAAACGTTCTGCTAGCGGACTGCCCTTCACAAGCACTTCAAAAACTAACGTGCTGGTTCCTGGCATTACAAATTCCCAAACCTAAGCCCAAAATCGCGACTTCTCTTCACCACGTACTTTTCGGGTCTCGGTCGCGGCTTCTTGTCAAGTTCTGTGAGCGTTGTTGTAAACCCTATAAACCCTACACCATCAACCCTATAGGTGAATGAGTATTGAGTGGCTGGGTGTCGCTGACGCAAAGGGTGCCAGAGCGGAAAACTTAAGGCCCCAAAGCCCTAAAGCCCTGAAACCCTAAGATCCTATGAAAGCCTGGAACCCTAAAACCCTGAAACCCCAATACCCTGAAACCCTAAAACCCTGAAACCCGAAAACCCTGAAGCGCTAAAACCTTGAAGCCCCTAAACCCTAAACCCTAAACCCGAAACCCTAAACCCTAAACCCTAAACCCCGAACCCGCCCCCCCCCCCTTAAAAGCCCAACCCCAGGATCTCTGAATTGGACCCGTGCGGTCCTGCCAAATCTGCAGCCGGAAGAGAGACCCGTTACATTTCTGCAGCGCCCGGGGGAGTTCGTGCCGCTTGACACTGGGTTTAGGGTTTAGGGTTTAGGGTTTCGTGTTTAGGGTTTAGGGTTTAGGGTTTAGGGTTAGGGTTTAGGGTTTAGGGTTTAGGGTTTAGGGTTTAGGGTTTAGGGTTGACCTTAAACGCCTAGTTACCCAAAATAAGAGGCTACTATGGCCCCAAGATAGGAAGCTGTAGCGCATAACTAAAGTCTACTGGCTTTCAATGGAGGTTTTGGGGGTGCGGGAAATGGGGATCCAGGCAGCTATCAGGTAAGCGCGTGACTTGTTCAAGCCCCTCCTTGTGCCGTGGCTCTCTTTCTACTTCACGCTGTTCTATGGAGCGTTTCCCTAAACCCTAAACCCTCTAAACCCTAAACCCTGTACTTCAGTTCCTGTGGCATAGGAGGTATTTGATCACTACACAGGCTGTCTGCAAAAGGAGTCGGAAGAATTTCTAATACTACGTATCCCCTCATGGTCCCTACATCATTCTGCTCTAATAACCCCCAAACCATAATGAAGCCCCCGAGAGTATGATGTTCGTAAATGTTGAAGGGCGCAGAGAAAAGCTCACAGCTTCTGCATCTGCGCTTGCGACTGGCTGTTGCGCTTGTAACTCCTGCGCCCTAAACCCTATACACCCTCTAAATCCTAGAAGACCTAGGGAAGCCCTCCTATGTGCCCTCCTTGTGTGAATACTAAACCGAATCCTAGAACCTGAACCTCCGGAACCTCCCCCAGCCTCACGCCTGAACCCTAAACCCTAAACCCCAAACCCTACCCACCCACCCTCTTCTGGGGTGCCTGGACCCAGCACTACACCCGACAGCGATTAACACCATCGCTTGGACTTAAGGCAGCTCAGCCTGGGCGATTGCTCAAAAACCCACTACAAACCCAAAAACCTGCAAAGGCCCCCTGACCCCGCTCCCGGCCCCCCTTCCCCCCTCCCAAACCCCCCCCCCCCCCCCCCCCCCCCCTCCCCCCCCCCTCCCTCCCCCCCCCCCCCCCCCCCCCCTCCCCCCTCCCCCCCCCCCCACCTCCCCCAGCTCCCCCCGCCCCCCCCTCCCCCCCCCGCTTTCAAAGGATGGGAATGGGAAGTGGGAATTTCGGGCGTTAGCCCGAAACCCTAAAAGGAGAAAAGTTGGGTGGATGCCTGCGTAAGCAGGGGGTGGGAAAAATAAAACAACCCAACCTTTCTGGTTGCGGTGGCTCCAACTTCAATACACGCCGCCGCGACATATGCCGCCCCCTCACACCCCCTGGGTGTGTTGGGGCGCCATCTCCGCATGAAATCTACTGCCGCGGCGCGGCGAGAAGCCCCTAAACCCTAAACCCTAAACCCTAAAACCCTAAACCCTAAACCCTAAACCCTAAACCCTACGCCGCAGGTATCTTCCAGCCGCCTGGCCTCACCTGACACTGAATTTGGACGACTCCCTGTGCGTCGGCTCCCTGGTTCAGAGACGCAGCAAAGTGGGTATTTCGCAAAATTGTTTGCAAAGGGGGTTTAGGGTTTAGGGTTTAGGGTTTAGGGTTTAGGGTTTAGGGTTTAGGGTTTAGGGGTCCCCTGATTTAAGGCCCCTTTAAGGGGATTTCTATTTGGGGTATAAACGGCGTACCCCCTATTTTGTGTGGGTTTTGGAGTTTAGGGCTATTTAAGGGGCTCTAGGGGCTTTAGGGGCTTTAGGGGCTTTAGGGGCTTTAGGGGTTTTAGGGGCTTTGGGGGCTTTGGGGGCTTTGGGGTTTGGGCGGGCCTTGCCACCCCCGCTGCGACCCACCTTTCTAAAACCTTCTAGTGCTCAGAACCGAGCCTGACACCTAAACCCTTTCGGTCCTTTGATCCCTAAGCAAATTCTTCCGCTGCCCAAACTTGCCCCAAACTTGCTCTAAACCCTACCCTCTAAGCCTCTATAAACCCTGTAAGCCCTTCTAAGCCTAAACCCTAACCCCCAAACCCCTAAATCCCTAAACCCCTAAACCACTAAACCACTAAACCCCTAAACCCCTAAACCCCTAAATCCCTAAATCCCTAAACCCCTAAACCCCTAAACCCCTAAACCCCTAAACCCTAAACCCTAAACCCCTAAACCCTAAACCCTAAGCCCTAAACCCTAAACCCTAAACCCTGAGGATGGCAGGAGTTCTTGGAGAACGACGACCTGCCGCAACTGATCCCGAGCTGCTCCGCCAGCGCTCCCCGGGATCCTGACGCCTGCGCTCGGGGCGGCAGTTGGGTTTCAGGGTTTCAGGGTTTGGGGGGTTTAGGGTTTAGGGTTTAGGGTTTATAGGGTTTAGGGTTTAGGGTTTAGGGTTTAGGGTTTAGGGTTTAGGGTTTAGGGTTTAGGGTTTAGGGTTTAGGGTTTAGGGTTTAGGGCTCGGCCTCGTGGACTACTACCCATTTGGGCTACTACAAGTCATCAGCACTGCAACCCATGTGCCCTTCATCCCTGACATCCCTGAGCCCTATAGTCCTGAAGGGGCCAAAGCCTCCAACAACGTCTAGGGTTTGGGGTTTAGGGTTTAGGGTTTGGGGTTTAGGGTTTAGGGTTTAGGGTTCAGGGTTTAGGGTTTAGGGTTTGGGGTTTAGGGTTTAGGGTGTAGGGTGTAGGGTGTAGGGTTGTGTAGGGGTTAGATGGGAGCTGTTCTACATCAGGGAGCCTTATGGCCCCTTTGTCTAGAAGGGATCCGGTCATGAACCCTAAACCCTAAACCCGAAATCCTAAGCCCTAAACCTAGCATCTTCAAGAGTCGAATGGTAAACATGCCGAAAGCCTCGGACTATCCCCCAAAGATCTACAAAGCTCGTGGAAAATTTATGGGTGCTTTGGCCTAAACCCTAAACCCCAAACCCTAGTTCCTAAAAGTTCAGGGGCTCTAGGCTATTGAAGGCTTCAGGGATTTGCGGCATCCTCGGGAAGGTTTGTTTTGGGAGAGGTTTGAGGATTTAGGGTTACGGGTTTAGGGTTTAGGGTTAGCACCCCAAACCTTGCCCCCAACGGCAAAGGTACACTGCTCGGTGTCTACTGCCGGGATGTCACCTGCCCCTTCAGCTGCCTGGCAGCAATGCTAGGTGCTTGAGGAATGCCCCTAAACCCTAGACCCTAAGCCCTAAATGCTAAACCCTAAACCCTAAACCCTAAACCCTAAACCCTAAACCCTAAACCCTAAACCCTAAACCCTAATCAGACCCTATGCCCGGTTGCCAGAAGGGATCTTCATCCCAACATGCCCTACATCTGAAGCCCCCCTAGCGAACCGCGACCACATCGGCTCATGCCTAGCCGCACTTCTATGTCCTTCTCCTGCCACCCTCAAGCCGACAGACGCCTCGGGTTTAGGGTTTAGGGTTTAGGGTTTAGGGTTTAGGGTTTAGGGTTTAGGGTTTAGGGGTAGGGTTTTTGGACACAAGAGGAAGGGACCATGGGTTCAAGAACGGACCATTTGCTCACTGTACTTGTCATGTAATAAGATGTGGCAAAAAAGGGTCCCATACACAAGCACAGGTGTAGCTAAGGGGCCGATTATGCTGCCGAAGTTGCAGTGCTTTCCTCCAACCCTAAACCCTAAACCCTAAACCCTAAACCCTAAACCCTAAACCCTAAACCCTAAACCCTAAACCCTAAACCCTAAACCCTAAACCCTAAACCCTAAACCCTAAACCCTAAACCCTACCAAGGGGTCCCTTTTGAGCTAGAACGGACACCAGCACATCGAGGCCGCGAGGACAAGGAGTTCTTCGACGACGCACTCCGGGTCTTGCCACTGCACCTGGCGGCAGCGGGCCATGCCGCCGAGTTCGACACTTCCAGGCCTTAAGTGGGGGGGTTACATGTAGGGTTTAGGGTTTAGGGTTTAGGGTTTGGGGTTCAGGGTTTAGGGTTCAGGGAGCCCTAAATTTTTTATAGCCCTAATTCCCTAAATCCCTACAACCCTAAGCCCCTAAAACCCTAAGCCCTAAACCGCTAAAACGTTACTTAAACCCGAACACCCCTACTTAACCCTAAACCCTAAATCCTACCTAAACCCTAAACCCTCAACCCTAAACCCTAAACCCCTCAACCCCTCAACCCCTCGACCCCTCAACCCCTCAAACCCCAAAACCAGGGCCGAAGCCACTGCAGCGGTTCTCATGGAGCAGGAGCCTTAGTAGCTGAGTGAGTACACTTTACACTTTTTGGGATTAGGGTTTAGGGTTTAGGGTTTAGGGTTTAGGGTTTAGGGTTTAGGGTTTAGGGGCGTAGGGGCGTAGGGGCGTAGGGGCCTATGAACTCAGCAACTAAGGAGCCGGAGCTTCTGCAGGAACCCTTGGTCGTTGCTTGGCCTGGGCTTGTAGGGAGTTTTAGGGTTTCGGGTGTAGGGTTTAGGGTTTATAATATTCGGGGTACCTTATTGTGGTCCTTATTATAGGGGGATCCTACTACTTGGGGGTCTATATTGGGTGTCCCTAAATATCGTAAACCCCCATAGGGCTTTCTTGAGGGGCTTTAAGTGGTTCAGGGCTCGAGGATTAAGGTTGGGTGTTGAGTTGAAGGGGTTTGAGGGTGGATGAGGCTTTTTGAGGATGTTTCAAGAGTTTATGAGTTTTCTATCTGTTTTTCAGGATTTAGGGTTTTGGGTTTAGCGTTTAGGGTTGGGTTTAGGGTTGGGGCTATGGCGTGGTGACATTGGGCTGGAGGGCTCTCTCAGTGGTTGTGCAGGGCTGGGTGTTTAAAACCTCAACCTCCTGCACCCGACACTTGGGGTTTCGCTGCGATCACCCCGCGGGATGTCGTGCTGAGGACAATCTGACCATCGCATATGGCTGGATCTTCCTAGCGCAGACCCTCTACAACAAAGGAGACAAACCCTAAACAATGAACCCTACTTAAGCCAGAGACGCAACGGTTACGAATGTCCAAGGAGCGGTTCAACCGGGGCCTTGTTCGTTTGAACGTGTATCTGCTGTACATATGTATGTATATACATATATATGATATACATTGCATTTATGTAGGAGTTATAAGGGTGTGATTGGAAATGGTTTGGGTCCGGTATGTCGACTGCAGACAGCAACAGCGGAAACTTGATTGACACGCGCGAGCTGCACGACAATCGAGTAAAATGATCATGTTTATTCCTTTTTTGGAATTCAATAAGATATTAATGTAAAATTATAACCAGCAAGGACCCCCAAAAGGATAAAGGCTCTGCCAGCCGCACATTCAAAAAGCGCACTTGGCAGGAGGAGACCACGACACCGCCGATGCTTTTCTAAGCCATGTAGGCTGGATGTCAGGGCATCGATTGTTTGCAGGGTTGCGGGTGTGCATCGGATAAGGCGCCTGGTTCGGACAGAGCGCAACTTCGTTCAAAGCTCTATATAGCTTCAAACCTCCCCGGGTCAGTTTTTGCCACTTCGATCAGCTTTTTATACCCCTAAATAGTGCAGAATCCCCTTCAGGAACGGCCCAAACAGGGTACCCCCATTTTCGGAAGCCCCCATATATACCCTTAATCTATTAGGGCATGTCCCCACCAAAAAGCAGTGGAGCTTCTGGGAGCTTGGAGCAAACGCAAAAAAAACCGACACTGGAGGCGAGCCCCATGGCCTCCGTCTCTGAACCTGCTCCTGCCTTGTAAGCCCTAAACCCGAAACCCTAAACCCTAAGCCCGAAACCCTAAATTTCCGAAACCCTAAACCCTAACCGTAAAACCTAAATCTTAAACCCTAAACCCCGCAATTAAAGCCATCCCGGAGCACCCTGAACACGAGCAGCTGGAGAGGCCCACTTGTCCTGGGCGACGACTTGGCCATGGAGGCGCTGGCGCTTTACGCCACGCGGAAGTCATGTGAGGTTTGGGCTGGTTTGGGGTTTAGGGTTTAGGGTTTAGGGTTTAGGGTTTAGGGTTTAGGGTTTAGGGTTTAGGGTAAAAGGGTTTAGGGCGGGTTTTTGTTTGGCAGGGCGGGGGGGGGGGGGGGGGGGGGGGGGGGAAGGGGGAGGAACCCTAAACGTCAGGATTCTTGACCATGAGCCAGGGTTGGGGAATACTTGGAGGTTCCCCAAACCCTAAACTCTAAACCCTCTCCCCATTTCGCAACGGGGTTTAGGCTTTAGGGTGCAGAGCGCAGCAAGAAAACCCGAAACCTCAAACCCTAGAAATGCCTAAGGCCTAAGGAACAGCCAAACGTAATGAGTTGGCAAGGGTGCCAAGTTCAGTCTAGAAACCACACATTAAGGACAAGACCAACGGCACCAAATCGTTTGACTACTCGCACGACTTCAATGAGAGCAACGACACCCTGGAGCGCCGCGAGAGACGGGGGAAGCAGAAGCGAGGCAAGGGTGCGTAACAAAAAGGCGGGCTTCTAGTGACTCGAGTTGCCCCGACAAGAGCATCTGACGGTCTCATGGCTGTATAGGGTTTCAGCAGAGGATCAGGGTTTATAGGATACCAGGATAGGCTATTCGGCCCCTAGAATCCCCGTAATCAACCCTATAAAAGGGCCTTTTTAAGGGGTTTTCGGGTGTACTAGGTTTCAGAGGTCTAGGGCTTGAGAGCAACTTTTGGGAATTAGGAGTACTGCCAGTCATCGCTCCACTGGGCATGATCGATGTGCGTAGTCGTCGTCTGCTTTGTGTAAGACTTCCGGGATGCTCAGCGGTTAGGGTTGAGGGTTTAGGGTTTAGGGTTTAGGGTTTAGGGTTTAGGGTTTAAGGTTTAGAGTTTAGGGTTTAGGGTTTACGGTTTAGGGATTCGGGTTTAAGGTTCAACGGCTAAAGCTTGTCTCCTACGGCACGTGGTGTTTTGTCGAAGATCTGTCCACCACTTCCTTCACCCTTGCACTTTAGAGCCCTCTGAACATGTTGTGGGTAAGGTCCTCTTAAACCCAAGGGTTTAGGGTTCAGGGTTTAGGGTTTAGGGTTTAGGGTTTAGGGTTTAGGGTTTAGGGTTTGGGTTTAGGGTCATGTTATTGGTACTACTTCTGTTTACCAAATATCCCAAGGGCCTAGCAAGGCGGAGGAATGTGATTGAACAAGCCTGTTGATGCAGTTTTCACTGCGCCGCCTTGACACAACTTCTGAGGCCTTCGCCAAGCGTGGTATGAAGTGCACACCGGAGGCGGGCAGGGTTTCTGTGGCTCGAGGGTGCGTGGGGCCAGCTGCTGCGCGTGTTACTTGTGCATTGAAGTTCCCAATGAAAGAAACACACTTCCTACGTAAAGAGCCCTGAATCGAAGGCCCCCACATTTAGTAGAGAGTGGACTTGGGGGCATGGGAGTTGAACGACACCAGCCTCTCAGGAGAAGGAGGAGCGCCTGGCTGCCCAAAAAGAGGCTGACTGTCCCGCGTCATCTTTGGGGGTTGCGGTATTAGGACGGGAATGCAGCGTCAGGCCTTAAGCCCTTCAACCCTTAAGCCTTAAACCCTTAAACCCTTAAACCCTTCAATCCTCAACCCAGGGCCTAAACCCTAAACCCCGCGGAACCCTAAACATACAGGTTGACCCGATTGTGTATACAATGAACCCGAAAGAGCACCCACAACTGCATGGCACGCCAAAAGGAGCAGAGTTTGGGCATGTACGACTGCAAGAAACATTCCGCCATGCTCAGTAGCAATCTACTTTTTCAACGGCATATGATGCATATGATGCTTTGGCCCTATCATGCTTATGCCCTGCAACACCAAAACCCTGAACCCCTTAACTCCTAAACCCTATAAACCCAAAGCCCAAAACCCCTGAACTCCTAGACCCACAGGCAGGGCCCATGTGCCTATAGACTTTGTGGCGCTTTACTGTAACTGTAGATCCTTAGCCTTTTTGGGTTTATTGGGATTTTTAAGAAGGCAGCACAAAAAATGTATCTGCCCTACTAAGTGCAGCCAAGTAAAGTATGAACTTGGGCCTTAAAGCTGCTACATGGTGGCCCCTTTAAGGCTCAAGTATACACCATCAAGGTACAAGGACCCTTATTAGGGCCTTAGGGGAGCCCAAAGGTCTCCCTTTCCTAGACCCTGAACTGGAGTTCCTGCCTTTGGGTAATATGGGGCCTTAATACTTTGAATAGGTTTTTTTTTTTTTTTTGGGGGGGGGGGGGTTATTATAGTATAATTATAGTGGGACCCATAGGGAATATTATTAGCAATTATTCCGACCCCTTTGTTGCCTAGTTTCTTCTCGTATTCGTTGATTCATGAAGTCAGGCACCTCCCACAGAAAGGGAACTACAGGTGGTGCCCCAACCCCTATAAACTCTAAGCCCCCCTGAAGCCTGAACCCTAAACCATAAACCCTAAACCCTAAACCCTAAACCCTAAACCCTAAACCCTAAACCCTAAACCCTAAACCCTAAACCCTAAACCCTAAACCCTAAACCCTAAACCCTAAACCTAAACCCTAAGAACAAAAACCGAAATCCCATGTTTGCGGAGGCACAGAAGCGCTTCGATGAGCAACGGAAGGCCGAGCAGGCTCGCGTCAGACAGTCGACCTCGCCCGAAAGTGCGAAACTTCGTTCAGCTCCCAAAAGAAACTACCTTACAGCCTTCAGGTAAGTTTCCGCGGCCTTTGGTACAGAACATAGAATGCGGTTCACGAACCTTGGGAACATAAACGAACCTCCCCCCCCCCCAAAAAAAAAAAAAAAAACAAAACAAGGAAGGAAATGGCAGTATGTACCCTATGCCACTCTAAGCCCTGCTAATTTTACACGAATGTCATGAATAGCTTAGGGTCCCCAAGCCCTGAACGCTGCACCCGGAACCCAGGAGTTTTTAGTGTAGGTCGAAAGGATGCTGGGTCTTGGGTTTAGGGTTTAGGGTTTAGGGGTTAGGTTTTAGGGTTTAGGGTTTATAGGATTTAAGGTTTAGGGTTTAGGGTTTATAGGATTTAGGGGCTTAGGGTTTAGGGTTTATAGGATTTAGGGGCTTAGGGTTTAGGGTTTATAGGATTTTGGGTTTGGGGTTGAGGGTTTATAGGATTTAGGGTTTGGGGTTGAGGGTTTATGAGCCATGCCACTTCAACCACGCATCCATCCATTGCACAAGCGACATGGAGGCTTCCCGCAATTAGGGGTTCCCTCTTGGGGTCCCTGATTCTAAGGGGATCCTACTAAACCCTAACCCCTAACCCCTAAACCCTAAACCCTAAACCCTAAAAACCCTAAAAACCCTAAACCCTAAGGCCCTAAACCCTAAACCCTAAACCCTACACCCTAAACCTTAAACCCTAAACCCTAAACCCAAAACCCTAAACCCTAAACAACCCTAAACCCTAACCCCCCCCCCCCCCCCCCCCCCCCCCCCCCCCCCCCCCCCCCACCCCCCCCCCCCCCCCCCCCCCGGCACATGGAGGCTAGCAGCTGAGAAGCATCAACGACGCGATGACGACTTGCAGATGTGAGCACGTGAAAATGGTCAGTTCTCTACGTTAGGGTCCCTTTTTTGGGTACCCGAAACCCTAACCCTAAACCCTAAACCCTAAATACTTGGGGGGCCGCCTTATAGTAAGGACCCCCAAAGGGGCCATGAAGATTGTTGAGAAGCGAAAAAAACCAGTTTTTCCAAGCCAGGCTTGGTCTTTCGTGTGTTTGGATCTACGTGAGATCCGGTAACAGGCCCTAAACCCTACACCCTAACCCTAAACCCTAAACCCTAAACCCTAAACCCTAAACCCTAAACCCTAAACCCTAAACCCTAAACCCTAAACCCTAAACCCTAAACCCCAAGTCGAAGCTCTTGAATTCGCTAGACAGCAGGCGAGGGCCGCAGGCGACAGCACACTCGAGGTTCGTGCCTCAAGCAGAACCTTCAACCACCACCTTTCCAAACGGCAAACCCAAAACCCTAAACCTGAAACCCTAAACCCTAAAGACCCTTTAAGCCCTCTACACCCTAACCCGAAATTCTAGACGGAGCAGAACCCTGCTGGCTGTCACATGTGTTCAAGCATGAAAGGGATAGGCTTCAAGACAGGCACGGAGCATTTCAGAGTTGACGGGGGCCATTAGGGCTTTTAAAAGGCATGGCATGGAAGGCTTGGCCGCAAGACTTTCCCTAAGGTCCATGTACCTAAAAGGTATATACTTGGGTGCTAAAGCTGCTGGATGGCAACTCCTTTAGCCCAAGTATACACTATATAGGTACACACCCCCTAACCTCTAAACCCTAAACCCCTAGGGTTTACCCACCTCAGAGCCTGAAATAAAGAAGCTGTTTGAAGCTTTGAAGCAGTCGCCTCCTGTCGAGTTGCCAGGAGGGCAAGACATCCTAGAGGCTATTTGCATGGCAAACAAGAGGGTTTAGGGTTTAGGGTTTAGGGTTTAGGGTTACAACCAAGAGGGGGTTGACGGGTAATGCCATGGAGCCCACTGTCCTCACGGCATGGACGACACGGAACCCATGTGACCATGTCTACGGGAGAGGGTGGCGGTCTTAGACTCGTGCAAGTTGGTTCTTTGCAGACCGTGAGATTGCAGTGGTTGAAGTTATGGACACATAATCAGTAGGTAGCTATCGCCCTCAGGGTCCATGTACCTTTATAGGATATACTTAGGCCCCCTAAAGCGGCTGTATGAGAACCCCTTTGAGGCCCAAGTATATACCATATAGGTACATGGACCCTTAGGGTACCTTGCCTCTGTGGCTTCTTTGGCCAAGGTATTTCATCGGAAATTTGGCTTCAAGTGCCACAAATTGCACGTCTGCGCTCGCCTTACCAGTTCTTGCTGCGATGCCTTGCCATGTCGTTTAGGGTTTAGGTAAGGTTTAGGGTTTAGGGTTTAGGGTTTAGGGTTTAGGGTTTAGGGTTTAGGGTTTAGGGTTTAGGGTTCAGGGTCCTGGAAAGCCCTTGTGAGCAAGCGAGACAGCCGGCTTCAGGATCGATGCCCCACGACAATGTACTCAGACAACTTCAAGGCCAGCTGTCTTGCTGCAAAGCTTCCTGCCAAAAGCAAGGGCCCCCTAGGTCGTAAGTCGAGGCACAGGGGCACCCAATTTGGATTACAAGAACTTAAGTTATACATCTTGGGGACGTTCCCCAGTATACTGACAGTCCTTACTGGGATTGTGGTACCCCTGGTATAATCCCTATCAAGGACTGTTAGTATAAGGGGGACCATCCCAATATACGTCCCTTAAACAGGTCAGGGACCCCTCCTTGCAAGCCCAAAGCCGGTAAAGCCCCGCACCCCCCCCCCCCCTCCGCCCACGTGAGAGCCCTCAGCTTCTTGCCTGTGAAAAAAAGGGTTTACAGGATTTAGGGTTTAAAGGCATAGGGCTTAGGCTTTAGGGTTTAAGGTTTCGGGTTTAGGCTTAGGTTTTGGGCGTTTAGGGTGTAGGGTTTAGGGTT